AAGAAGCTTATGTATTATTTTCTCAGTGATTTCTGACTCATTGATCTTTTCTGTGTTGGTTCTATTGACATAAACTTTCTTCAACTTCAGAGAGAAGACGGTGGCTACCCTCATTTCATTGGGTGCAGATCGTGGAGCATCAACAATGCGATCACCAGAATATCCTTCACGCATTAAACCTGCCGATCTGGCCTCTGCCAATGGACATAAAAGAATTGCTGTATACCTTCGAGAAATGTTATTAGCAGGTTCGTTTCTTTTAAATTTTAATTTTTCTCCTTTTAGCTTATTTTTTAAAAATCAAATTTAAGTAATTTTTAGCACATGCTATCCTCTTTAAAATATATAATCCCATCCTGCAAAAGCATTTTTGGATTTCAAATCTTTATATAAAAAGGTCTTGTGTTGAACTTTTTATTATTATTATTATTTCTGACCATCACTCTTTTTAATTAGTGCTTGTGTCAATTATGACAACAGATGAGACTCTGTAAAAATTAAAATCTTATTCATAGAAATAATTTATTTATTAATTATTTTTTGGATTCTGTTTTTATTTTCTTGTCTTACTTATGAATTTGAATAATTCTGAAGAAAATGGTATGGCCCTTGTTAATTGTCGCGGGCCACTCTGATGTTAGAAAACCTTATTCTTCAAGCAAGCAAGCATGATGGCTTTGATTCTTTTCTTTACAGCCTCTTAATCCTAATAAGCCTTTGTTATACATTTATGTTAAGTTGGCCTGACCTAGACTTGGTTCTGAATCCATGTGTACCATACCTTTTGTTTTATTCCTTTTGGATTAATTTTGCTAAAGTATGGGAAAATTTTGCCATAATTTTATTTTCCTGATTTTCCTTTTTTTTTGGTTTGCAGCTGCAAGTACGGAATTGCAGCGAAGGAAATGTGGATTTTATCCAAAGAAACGTGTATTTTTGCGAAGGGAAGCTGAACTTACACCAGCGGAAGCTGAATTTTTGCGAAGTGAAACTGAATCTATGCGAAAGGAAACTGAATCTATGCGAATGCAAGCTGAATTTATGCTAAAGGAAGCTGAATTAGCGGTAAAGGAAGCTGAATTTTCGCTAAAGGAAGCTAAATTGACACCAGTGGAAGTTATGCAGATGCGAATGGGGGCTGATCATATGCGAAGTTGCGCTTTTGACCTTAGACAAAGGAAAGATGAATATGAGACTTTTCTGAACCAAATCCTGGGTAAGAAAATGAAAGAGGATGAAGAAGAGGACGAGGGGCCAGACGACGAAGGGCCGGAGGGCGGAGGGCCGGAGAAGGACGAGGGACCGGAGAAGGACGAGGGACCGGAGAAGGACGAGGGACCGGGGAAGGAGAAAGAAGAGGGAAAGAAACGAGCACCAGACTCTGATTTGGATGGGGGAAAGGCACACAAGATTTTGAAGGCACATTTAGCATGCATGGCTCTGTTGAGCGCATATTACGTTGTGCAAAGCATGGAGACAATCCAAATGCTTGTGTTGGTATGGGTTGAGGCTTCTAAAAAA